GATGATGATGATGATGATGTACTTAAAATATTTACTGTACAAAAATAAATACAGAAAATCAATAAAAATATACCTTCTATTTGGTAAATTATGAATGTAAGTATAACATTAAAGGATGCATTAAACTTTAAAAAATTGTTTGTTTGTTTTTGAATTTCGTGCAAAGTTACACGAGGGCTATCTGCACTAGCCATCCCTAATTTATCAGTGCAAGACTAACCAGCACCACCCACCACCAACTCTTGGGCTACTCTTTTACCAACGAATAGTGGGATTGACCGTCACCTTATAACGCTCCCACGGCTGAAAGGGCGAGCATGTTTGGTGGGACGGGGATTCGAACCTGCGACCCCGCAGATTGTGAGTCGAGCTCCCTAACCACTTGGCCATGCCAGGTCCCTAAAAAATTGTTTGTTTAAAATGTTATTGGTGATTCTGACATGTTTAATTATACATTAGCACATTTTCCAAGCAGCTGGTTAAAATAAAATTTCCTATTTTATCGTCTCTAGTCTTTTCGTTTTCAGAAAAAGTTCTATGTAAAATATTGCATCTCTTATTAAAAACATATAGATTTTTTGTTTCTATACAGGAAATAAACTTTTAAGCCCTTAGATAATACTTTAAAAAATTAGACATCATGACATTAAACAAAAATAAGCTGGAAATATATGTTTTTGAAAAAATCTTCCATCACTAGTAAATCAAGATACCTTCAATATGTCATAACAACCACCTTATTTTAAAAAGTAAAATAACAACATATTACCTGTTTATTTCCTTGTTTAGCTGCTTTTTTTATTTCCATTTCCTGTAATCAGTTAAACAAAAAAGACATGCATATTATAAATATAAATTTTTATTATTACATATGGAAAACTTATTTTTATTAAATTTAATTGTAGAAAACTTTGCTCATCATAAGAAAGAGTTCAAAATTAAGATATTATATGTGATATATAGTATTCATTAACTTGTTGTTACTTCTATAACTTAAGCTGTCTTATAAGCTGGTACTTGCAGTTCCCCGTGTTTTACTTATTTTAATAATGGGTCCCCCAGTTTTCTTCATATCAGCTGGATCTTGACCCCTTGTTTTATATATTTTCATAATGGTTTCCACAGTTTCTTCATATCAACTGGCACTTGACAGTTCCCCATGTTTTATATATTTTTATAATGGTTCCCCCAGTTTTCTTCATATCAACTGGTACTTGACAGTTCCCCATGTTTTATATATTTTTATAATGGTTCCCCCAGTTTTCTTCATATCAACTGGTACTTGACAGTTCCCCATGTTTTATATATTTTTATAATGGTTCCCCCAGTTTTCTTCATATCAACTGGTACTTGACAGTTCCTCATGTTTTAGTTATTGTTTTATAATAGTTTCCCCCAGTTTTCTTCCTATCAGTTGCAACTTCATAGTTCTCTGTGTTTTAATTATTTGTATATTAGTTTTGCCTAGGTTTTCCTATCAGCTGCTACTTCATAGTTTTTCTATGTTTTAGTTATTTGTATAATAGTTTCACCTAGTTTTCCTATCAGTTGCTACTTCATAGTTTTCTGTGTTTTAGTTATTTATATAATAGTTTTGCCCAGTTTTTTTCATATCAGCTGCTACTTCATAGTTTTCTATGTTTTAGTTATTTATATAATAGTTTCACCTAGTTTTTCCTATCAGCTGCTACTTCATAGTTTTCTATGTTTTAGTTATTTAATAATAAATGGCCTAAATGTTACTGTTATAAGCTGGCACTTGACAATTTCCTGTCTTTTGTTATATATGCAATAATAGTTTTACCTCTGTAATTGTTTTTTGTTGTTAATTTCCCTCAGTTTTCTTGCTATAAACTGGTACTTAACATTTCAAGTTAGTGTTTTTGAGCAAGGCAGAAATTTAAGAAATGAGATAAAAACCTTGAAAGATGTTTCTTTCTTTTGGATGTTACAACAAAAAAACATGTCTTACAAAATTGTAGCATTTATATTGTCAAAGTAGTTTTTCTAATATAACCTCACTCTTTAAAGTTATATAGAATGAATTAAAGCTTCCTGGTTTAGGAATAAGTCTTAGAAAGTTAAAATTTTTAATCTAATTCCTGAAAATCTTACCAAATCCCAAGTACTGGCGTGAAGTCAAAACATCACCTTTGCCAGATCAATTTAGTAAAACTTTAAATTCAGAATGCTATCTAAATGTATTAAACTTTGTTGTTTTTTTTTACATTTTTGGCCATCTTTCCAAATAATTTCGACTAAACATTTTTGATTAAGTTCAAAGTGGTAATCATATGATTTGTTACACACACATAAATATATATATATATATATATATATAGATTATCCTATTATATTGAATTAACACACTTGTTTCAAGAACTTATGGACATCTATTTACACATATCTTCTGGAGGTGTGCATATGTGTGAACAAATTTAAAGATACAATTTGTTTGTTTGAAGTTATGCACAAAGCTACACAATGGACTATCTGTGCTTTGCCCACCACGGGTATCGAAACCCAGTTTCTAGTGTTGTAAGTCCGCAGACATACCGCTGTGCCACTGGGGGGCTTAAAGATACAAAAGGAAAAATATTTACAGAAGCCATAATTTCTACTCACAAGTTGTTTTTCTTGCCTTTCCAAATCTCTTCTATCTTTATCAATGCCTCTCTGTACTCTTCTTAGGTCTCTGTCTTGCTGGCGCATTTGTTCTTTATTTGGGGGAGTGGAGAGAAAGGTAATAAATCTCATTAAACCAATACAATATTTGGGATTCCCATTATCAAGTCATTAATCTCTTTTTTTTTTTCATCCATATACATGTAATTACCTTAATTGTTTAAATAATTTTGTATCGGTGATTAAAATGATCTAATATTTCTCAAGTCCACAAAGGCAAGTGTAAAAATTAGAGTTTTGCCAAACTGTAAAAGTAGAGTTTGCTATTAAATATTTGAAATTATATTATTCACACAAAAGTCACTATCTTTTGCCTTACAGTTTATTAAAAGTTTTATTTCATGCCACCAACTACAATATCTTGGCTTATAATTTTTTAATTGATTTTTGTCATTAACACTAACGAAATAAAAGCCTTTAAAGCAATTTAGTTAAATCCTCTAAAACTCTTGTCTTCTAATCAAACATCTCAAACTGCACTGAATAATCTTTAATCAAACCACATTGAATAATCCTCAATCAAAACACCCTGAATAATTCTTAACAATAACACTCTGAATAATCTTAATCACATCCCAATAGATAATCCTCAATCACAAAACCCTGAATAATACTTAACAATAACACTTTAAATAATCTTAACCACATCCCAATGCATAATGCTCAATAACATCACAATGAACAATCTTCAGTCACATCATAATAAATAATCCTTAATCACAACACAATGAATAATCCTTAATCATGTCACAATGAATAATCCAAAACACTTTAGCTAAAATCCCACACTGACAACATGGAGGGGCCAGTGGGGTCTGCACTACTTCTGGAACAGAAATGCTCATCACCTGGGCCACATTAAATCCAATTCTTGGGTGGTAAAAGCCAACTGGCCATTGATGCAAAATGATAGTCCATGAGTGGCAGTCCAGTATTTATTTTTGTGTTATAATTGTGTGCCACCCAGAAAGAGTACAAGGTAATCTTATAGAACACCCCATCTCAACTATTGCTACCAGGAAAATTACTGATTAGCAACACCCCCCCCACAGAGAGGGATCCCCATGAAAATGACGAGAGGATCCCTGAAGGTTCCAAGGAGTCAACCGTCAAATCACATAAATAGTGAGATATAAGTGTATTAGTTGTGGTACACATACCAGCCTGTACAATCTCCTCTGGCAGGCGATGGAACCAAACTGCCAGGGACATCGACATATGGCAAAATTGATGAGATGAGACCCAAAGAAGTCTCAATTTCTCAGATAAGCCCAGAGTAAGCAATATGCACCAACTGACAAACTCAACTAGTCAAAGTGACAAGGGATAAGTCACATGACACCTTAGGATCCCAATGGATAAACAAACCATGATGTAAACCCCAAAACACTTCAGGCACAAAAGACGATCCAGATTGGAGCGTTCACAAACATGGAAAATGTAGGAAAGACGAATAGGATAAAAAGCCTTATCCCCTTCTCTAGTCACAAAAGATTTTGGCAGAAAAGGCCTATCAGGATGCAACAGAACATAAGTGGAATGGTAAAGAGTCCTATGAACATGAGTTGCAAATACATCTGAATGTCCATGTGTTGTAGCCAGTAATAGAAGAAAATAAGACAAGATAAGCCATGGAGAACTACTGAGATATCCGAATTAGGAACTTGAAAAGGACAGTGGGGATGGATAACCCGAAAAGACTTTAGAAGCAATAACAAAACCATGGGTCAAAAACATTACATCTTCCTGAAAAATGAAAAGTAGCTGACAAAGCAGCCTTATACAGAGAAGCAGATAAACGGTGCCAATCCTTTGTTGTATAACCACATCAGAAATTGTGAAACATGCAACACAGTGGGACAAGAAGGATTAAAACCATGTCTATGAGATCACTTACAATAAGTGAACCATTTCCATTGATAAACATCTAACAAAGAATGCTAAATGGACTGTGTTAATAAATATGCCACCCGAGAGGTCAAACTCCAATATCATGGACCACATAAAGGCCAGGCAGGAAACCAGAGAATGATGATCGCCAGTTGAAAAACTGTTCGAGTGAGGGATGGCCAAAGAGGAAACGGAAGAGGTTGCCACTCCTGAAGATACTGAAGGACTGAAAAAAGCTGACCCTTCCAATATGGTGCCACCAAAAGAGCTCAACAGGATGAGGTGCAAATCAGTGCAAGAACTTTCAATAACAGATAAATCAGAGGGAACAGGTAAAGATGAAGACCTGTCCAATCCTGGCTGGGAGCATTTATGCCAAAGCCAGAGGGTACAAGAGACCAGAAGGACGAGAGCTGGGCATTCTAATATGTGGCAAAAGCATCGATCTGAAGCATCTCGAGATGAGAGCAGATCCAATGAAAAACTTGTGGATGAAGTATTCATTCTGTGGGGACGAGATAACTGATCAGCCACTAAACTCATAACACCTGGAACACAACAAGCAAGGAGAACAATCTGATGATTGTAGGTCCAAAGGAGAAGATCCAATGCCTGAAAACAAAAAGACTTGGAGTGAGTGCCCCCTTACTTGGAAATGTAAGAGACCACCATGGAACTGTCCAAGTGAGCATTACCACTTTCCCTCACAACAATTTCACAGCCAAAGACCTAGTTCATTGAACTGCTACAAGTTCTAAAAGATTGATGAGGAGAGAAGATTCTCTACTGTCCAGAGGCCCTAGAATTCCATATCCCCCTACACAAGCTTCCCCATCCCTGGAGAGAAGCATCCATGAAAAGATCAAGTAGGCTGGAAGCCGTTAGGTTCACCAGACAATCCAGCACATCCGTGCAAATGTTCCATTGGTCCTGTAATGACCATTGCAGGGAACACATGTGGGCCCAACCCAAAGGAATGAGTGATTCTAAGGATGCCCACATCCCCAAAAGCAATAGAACCACATGCAATGGTGGAGAGAGAGATGACTATTTTAGAAGAATGGCATAGAGGAAAAGGTTGGGCCCAATTAAGACATGAATTGAAAAATCCCCCCAAATGGGTGAGGTATTCTTACTCCCATGCAGTAGACTTCTCCTTTCTGATGAGAAACCCAACCCTTGCAGCTTCTGATAAAAGAGCTTGAGTGTGAAGCTCTGCCAAGTGGCGGGGTGAAGTGAAAAGAAGCTAGTCATCCATATAATGGTGAATGCCCATTGGGTGAAGATGAGATGAAAAGAATTGGACTATCTGGCAAAAAATGTATGAGGTGGATGGAAGGCTGAATGGTAGACCACGAAATTGAAAAACCTGTTTCTTGTGTACAAAATGGAGATACCGATGTGAAGACTCATGATCAAAATATGAAGGTAGCCATCATCGACAATGAACTTTGTCATCCATAAACTGGTTGCAAAGTGCTACTGGAGGGAAAGAAGTAACTCCATGGTAAACCGAGGAGGCTGGAGTAAATGATTGAGATGAAAAATGTCAATGACAGGTTCCAAATTGCCCTTCTTCTTTGATACTACAAACAAATTGGAATAAAAACCCTTGAGAGATGAGTCAACACAATCTACAGCATCTTTGAGCAGAAGATCCTGGATGGCTTGTTCTCAATGACTGGATGTAAGATGATCCTTGGGGAGGGGAAAGACAACTGGTATGGTAGACATAAAATGAAGGACCAACCCTCTGGTAAAAACCTGAATGACCCACTGATTGTCGGGAAAGGTCTCCCATACAGACACAAATAGTCAGAGTTGAGTCCCACAGGACCCGGACCCCATAGGGTAGTTGCCAATACCAATGTCGGCACTTCACACAAAAGGAGGATGTCCACTGATAAGGGTTGAATCTTCCTTGTGTTCTGAACAAGAGGTGCAGTAAACCGTCTGGTAGAAGACTGGGAAAGGAGGGAAGTGGGTGTTGCAAGAAAAGATTGGAGACAGACCACATATACCAAAGATTCCATGGGATCTGGAATATCTGCAAAAATTGATTGTTGGAGAAAAGGAACTTCTCTGAGAACTCTGAGAGTCAAAGAAAAAAAAAGTTGACTGCCCTCAAGCAAGGCACCACTCTCCAAAGATACAGGTACAAACTAATGAAGAGAAAAAGAAGAGTTGATAACCTAACTAAAGTAGAAGTCAATAGGTGACTCAGATCCTCTGAAAATTGTGCAGGAGACCTGTCAAAAGCCTCAGACAACACTTTCAAAGAAGGTAAAAAATAAAAACAGATGTAAGGGACAGTTAAATCTAGGAAAACTGAATCAGGTTAAGACGAATAGAAGCATCAGGCCTAGAACCCCCAAACAGGGAAAGAAGGATCTAACTGCTGAGAATCTAAATATGGTTTCTCCAAGAGATGGAAAGCTAAAGCATGCTGATCCAATAAATGGGGAAGACAAGGCATGGCAGCACCTTCTCTCAACTGATCTACAAATCTCCAAGCATGCACAGCAATGTCAGGCAAAGTTGGAATGACTAGGTAATCAGCTGTTTGACTTTCCCCCAACAAACCAGAAAAGTCATAAGCCACAGGAGAAATGCTCAAGATATTACGAATTTGATGTACCAGTTGCAAAAATGGTGCAGGAGCCCGGATGTCTATCCAAGGCTCAAGATTAACTGTCTGAGCAAAGGAAGGAGCCAGAAAAATAAGAGTCCAAATTCTCCCAAGACCACCCCTGATCCCCTGCAAGCTGCCTCTGAGCCTACAGAAGAACAAACATCAGATCTCATGTAAGACTCCACCTCTCTGGAAAGGGATCCTCCCCCCACTGCCCAGGCAATGCTAGACTCCGGAGGTAGAAGATTAGGAGCACTAGGAGACTCCATATCAGAGAAGTAAATGTGAGAATTAATATCCAAAACATCTGATTTTTTGTGTGTGTGTAGAAATTAATGAAAATAAACAAACTCAAAACCCAATAAGACAAGTCAAAAAATAAAAAATCATCCAAATATGGGTATAACTAAATTTATACAACATGTAAGAGAAACTTGCAGCAATCACATAAAACCGTCATTGTAACATTCTACCATCGAGAAAAGTGAATAGGAAGTAATAACGGGGAGCTTATATACAAATCTGGTATAGGAGGCACATTGACATAGGTGGAGAGAATCACAAAATATAAATCACTATCAATATAGTGGTGCATAAAAGCTGGAACAAGTGAGGTAACATTCATACCAATGCTTAGATAGGCAGAAAATAGAAACTTTTGTCAGGATAAAGCTAATGTGTTTCAGAACTCAATGGAAAGAAAGCTGTAAAATTCCCTTTATGACAACATATAAAAAATTTACAATACAGCATACACTGTAAATTAATTTGTGTAAGTAAATTAATTAAAGAAAATTTTGTTAATTGCCAGGTCCTTGAACCTAGCTTACGAATCAGTACAGGTGTTACCAAGAGATATTACAATATAGTGTGTAAAATATATGTATTAAGTTTTCATTATCACTGTTATTAAATAGGAATAAACCAATAAATGATACCAATTCAATTCCATGCAATCTAACAATTTTAAGAGTAGAGAGTGAATGAATTTTCCTTTAATACGTAGTTATACAAAATATTTACTACTTTTCAGCTTTCCTTTTAACTGTTTCTTTTTAACAGATGAAATATACAGTACATACACACACTTTATATCTCATGAACATTACTCTTCTACTGTTGCATTGAGCCAATCATTCAGGAATTTTACATACACTAGATTTAGTCTATCCAGTTCCTGAACAACTTAATGTTACCCGTTAATAAACACACACTTTATATCTCATGAACATTACTCTTCTACTGTTGCATTGAGCCAATCATTCAGGAATTTTATATCCACTAGATTTAGTCTATCCAGTTCCTGAACAACTTCATGTTACCCGTTAATAAACACACACTTTATATCTCATGAACATTACTCTTCTACTGTTGCATTGAGCCAATCATTCAGGAATTTTATATCCACTACATTTAGTCTGTCCAGTTCCTGAACAACTTCATGTTACCCGTTAATAAACACACACTTTATATCTCATGAACATTACTCTTCTACTGTTGCATTGAGCCAATCATTCAGGAATTTTACATCCACTAGATTTAGTCTATCCAGTTCCTGAACAACTTAATGTTACCCATTAATAAACACACACTTTATATCTCATGAACATTACTCTTCTACTGTTGCATTGAGCCAATCATTCAGGAATTTTATATCCACTACATTTAGTCTATCCAGTTCCTGGAGAACTTAATGTTGCCCGTTAATAATCAAAAGAAGGGAACGTGGCTGCAATTACTTGTTTTCTAAAGACTTATATACTCTGTACTCTTTATTTTGTTCCTGTTCCTTACCTGATGTAGTTGTTTTCTTTGCAAATAAACTCATTCTGGGAATAGTAGTAGTACAGTTGAAGTGGATTCTGAAAATATATACATCTGATGTTACTCGTCCAAACCTGATCAACAAATTATCTTAGTATTATTTTATTGTTGTTGTTCTTATGCTAGTTAACATAAAGACTATTTTCCTAATCTAAACCAGCCAATTTTGTGTGCATGTGTGTGTGTTTTCAATACAATCACAACAATAATTTCAATGTTTCATATTCTATACGAGTTAAATTATTTACCTTCATTAGGATACTTTTCTCACAAACAATTTCTCATCTAACGCTAGAACCATATTATAATTGTTTTTTTTACTCATGTTATTGGGTACACTATTCAGTACCACTTTTCACTCTATGTACAAACATATACAAAATGATAACAACAGGTACACATCAAACCACCTGAGGAGAGGGGAAACCCCATTTACAGCATCCAATATGTTGTAGAAGTAAAAAAGACCAACAAAAGTTAGAATAACAGACAAACAAGACTTGGTAATACTGATCTAGCCCATTATGACAAAAACCATAGAGTAAATTGAAAATAATACTAAAACAAGTGCAAGTTGTGTATAGGAAATACCTTTGCCCCAACTAATATTATACTGTATGCTTAAGTCCCCCCCAGTATGATTGACATTGACTTTTGACATGTGACCTTCAAATGTTAATCAGATCTAAAAGTTTGATCACAATCCATTCATTCAACCTTGAGAATCCTGTCCACAAGAGGACAGACAGACAGACAGGGTAATCCAATTGACCCCATTTGGCTTCAAGAAGAAGTGAGGACATAATAATATGATGAAAAGTACACAAGAAAAATAAAGATAGAAAAAAGCCTTCTTCCTCCACCTAACTGATAAAATACTCAGTTAACCTAGCACAAGAAATCAGTAATATCGGGACACCCTCTTGAAAACATTCAAATAGTTGATCCAAGTTCTAATAAAGGAGAGAGAACTCAGTCAAGTGGATAAGGCATAATACTTCATCAAGAAGACCCACAATGGAATCCTGACTGTACCAACACATAAACAGCCCTCCTCTGCAGATTAGTATCTAGTACCAAGTGGACACAACAGACTTCCACCAAGAAGATCTAGAATCAATTCCTCTCTGCAACCAACACATAAACAGCCCTCCTCTGCAGATTAGTATCTAGTACCAAGTGGACACAACAGACTTCCACCAAGAAGACCTACGATCAATTCCTCTCTGCGACCAACACATAAACAGCCCTCTTCTGCAGATTAGTATCTAATACCAAGTGGACACAACAGACTTCCACCAAGAATACCTAGGATCAATTCCTCTCTGCAACCAACACATAAACAGCCCTCCTCTGCAGATTAGTATCTAGTACGAAGTGGACACAACAGACTTCCACCAAGACGACCTACGATCAATTCCTCTCTGTGACCAACACATAAACAGCCCTCCTCTGCAGATTAGTATCTAATACCAAGTGGACACAACAGACTTCCACCAAGAAGACCTAGGATCAATTCCTCTCTGCGACCAACACATAAACAGCCCTCCTCTGCAGATTAGTATCTAG